TGAATTGAAATGTTCACGATGAAATACTAAAGATTACTTAATATTAGACATATTCTATTGAAATTCTTTGCCAAATAATTCACTATTGGTTACCAACTCCACTCGACTTATATTCGTGATAACTTCTTATAGACCAGTGCCGATAGCTTTTAAAACATAATTAAAATATAGTAGAATGAAACTCATTAGAAAAGGACTATAATATTATAAAAAAATAAAGGAAAAATAATTAACGGGCGATCTGAGGTGGGGAAGGGTATCTGAGTGGGTATTTAAGGGTAAAAAATTGGTTTTCTCGATTTCCAACAAAACTAAAAGTCCTACGGAAAAACGTTATACGGTAAAGTTGTAGGTAATAAAAAGATCTAAAACTTTTGAACTAACTTTTTTTCACATAACCTCAAATTTTATGTGAAAAATTCTAAAAACAAAGTTTTTGCTTTTTTATTTTTATCACTTACAAAAAATAATATTTTGTCACGAAATTTGGTGAAAACTTACCTTTTGATGTCCCAAATACACTGTAATTTATTTGATTAGAAATATTTATTTTTTCAGCTTATTTTGAATAAATATCAAAAATAAGCTCATTTTCAATCGAAAAATCACCCATGAAAATATCAGATTTTTTCAAAAATTTGGTGTGTTTTCTGTTCGTTGATATCTCTTTTTTTTGAAGGTGAAGAAAAAATATAGTTTCTTATTTGCAGTACCATTTGTGGATAAAATAATTATGTCCCTTTCAATGAACTGACACTCGATATCGTTTGAAAAATGCTCTTTCAATTTATTTTTAATAGTTTTAGCAGCTTCATGTAAACTTTCTGTAAATTACCTAAAAGAGGGACTATCTGGAGAACTTCCAGAGTACACAACTGTCAAAAATAAATTAGAAAGAGCATTTTCAAAACGATGTCGAGTGTCATTTCATTAAAAGAGACATGATTATTTTATCCAAAAATGGTACTGTAAGTAAGAAACTTATATTTTTTCTTCACCATCGGAAAATAGAGATTCTAACAAATTGTAATCATACCAAATTTTTGAAAATAGCGGATATTTTGACGGGTGATTTTTCGATTGGAAATGAGGCTGATTTTTCGATATTTATTCAAAATAAGCTGAAAAAATAAATATTTCTAATCAAATAAATTACAGTGTATTTGTAACATCGAAAGGAAAGTTTTCACCAAATTTCGTGACAAAATATTGTTTTTTGTAAGAGATAAGAATAATAAACCAAAAACTTGGTGTTTCGAATTTTTCACATAAATTTTGAGGTTATGTGAAAAAAATGTTAGTATAGAAGTTTTAGGTCTTTTTATTACCTACAACTTTGCCGTATAACATTTTTACGTAGGACTTTTAGTTTTGCCGGAAATCGAGAAAACCAATTTTTTACCCTTAAATACCCATCCCCATACCCTTCCCGACCTCAGATCGCCCGTAAATTATTTTTCCTTTAATTTTTATAATATTCCCCTCCTTTTCCAATGAGTTTCATTCTATTATAATTTATTTTCACTTTTCATTAGTTTTAAAGGCTTCTGCACTGGTCTGCATTAATGAAATGTCCGATTGGGATGAAACAAAAAGTATTTTACTTCTCCATAACTGCCAGTGATAAAACAATGCTTCATTAGTATAAGGGTAGTTTCTTTCTTCAAACTACAACTTAACAGTTTTTTTGAACACTACAGTGGGTATTGTGACTGTTTGTGAAATATATACACCTGCGGACTTTTTCTAGATTTTATTAATACCTACAAAGCTGTATATCATTATTTTGTTGCATTGTCAATAGTTTTTGATTTTGTAGGTAGATTTTCGATTTCACAGCTCGTGTTAGAAAGTAGCAATCTTTTAGCGAATGTCTTAATTTATTGAAAATAATATTTAGCTTATAGCGTTGTTATCGATAAATGGACTATCCAACATTAAAGGAACTTTTCAAATCGAACCCGTACTTTTTGAAAAACTCTGCGTTATAATATTAGTCTAGATATATAAAAAAGCCTTGCTTATGATTTGAGTGTAATAGGATTGTACAAACTACAATAATAATGTCTTTGAGATGATTTTGAAAGTGTTTCTTTCTATTTCATATGCAGTTTAATATTCCTTTCAGAAAAATTTATATTAGACCTGTTCGATATTTATTTGAGAACAAGGATTGACTGGTCCAGTGTGTAACTGCCCTTATTATATAATATAGTCAACAATATAGACATAATCGTAAAAAAACTTTCAATGTTTCGTCTTTCAGATTTTAATAGATGAAAAATTTCAATAAAATTAATACATATTGAGTAAAGAACTAACATGCTTGGAATGCTGAGAAGTGTCTTCTATTGAATATGATATTTTTATTACTCAAAAATCGAATTGGTAGTATACAATCTGATAACGCTAGTTTCTGTACAATTATGCCCTTTGTAATGTTGGTTCTACTTATCTCATTTTTCTTATATAAAAAAATTACTCCTGAAAGTCATTTATAATTTTGTCAACTGGTCTTAATCTAAACGTAATATATTAAAGAACATGTAATTTTATTGATATTTGTAATAAATTTATTTTATATAAAAATATTAGCTCTAAGGTAAGAAAGAAATGAGCAGGTAAGCGTACCTGAAGATTTGCTATAATAATATTGACAGGCGTTAGTAAAATATTGTTCTGATTCTTATAATTTTTTTATATCAAAACAAGCTGTTTTATTTATATATTGTTGTCGTTTAAAATAAATATAGTATTTTATCCTAAACATATATACATTTTTAAATATCCTTGAAAACATAATATGTATGTAAAATAATCACAAATATAGTAACAAAAATAAGTAAACAGTCTAGTTCATAATATATATTTTTAATATTTTTTACAAATTATTTTTATTATTAAGTATTTGATTTACTGTAAGATTAAGTTAATTTCTTGAATATTGTTTAACTTTCAGCTTATACTAATAGGTATGACATGTACATATGTATAGGAGATTATTGTATGACTCTGAAACTGAACAAAGGAACATAAGAAAAACAAAATAAGGAATTTTTAAATCATTTGAATTATTTTATTATTAAAAATATATAAATAACGAACAATTACATGTTACATTATTAATAATAAGTAAAATAATAATAAAAAATAAATTAAAATCGATAAGAAATATAATAATTATATTATAGACAATAGAAGTTAAAATAATTGTCTTTAGGTTTTCGTACGTTAAACGACGTCTCAATTACATTGAATATTTGTTGGAACAGATGTGACTCCTTTGTTAATATTCAATACTGTAAATTGGACAAATATTTGTTTACTCTTGAACAGGCGATACTAAATTATATAAGATTTTTTGACGTTTTATTATATAATATTATTATTTCTAACTAAACTAATATTAAATATATACATATACATATTATGTGGGGTATTGAAATTATGTTATTAAAAAATATATATGAAAAAATTATTATTTTAGAATATTCCATAAAGAAGCTTAAAGTACTCCTTGTGACATTATCTGCCAGCGAGTGATATTCCTATCAAAATCGGCCTAGCCACTCCAGAATTAAGCCGTAACAGAACGACAGATAGACAAAACTTTGACAAAATTCCATTTCTGATGTTGGTATCTTATTACATATGCGTTTAGCTTAAAATTATTAATTTGAAAATACAAACGGAGATTATAGTTATATTTTTTATTTATACATTTTTTTTTAAATATATTATCTTAGAGAGTACATATATTCATTTTTTATCCTAAATACTTGTACGTAATAAAAACCTAAATAAACTAACATTATTACTTTATCAGAAAGTTTGAGTATCCTATTTCTCACTCAATAACCGACGTTAATAGTTAATAAGTAGAATAATTTGCGAAGTTTTATGAAAAAAAAAAACACAGTTTAGGTTTCATATACACACTTGTGGTAGGCGTACTGGTATAAAGATTTTTTTTTATAATTTTAAACGCATAATTTATATATAATTACATATAATTTCAAAAATAAATAATTTGATTGTTAGGTATTTAAATATTTTTATTATAAAAAAAGTTTATTGAAAACAGAGACTTAATAAGGAATTATTGAATAAGATTAAAAATCGTAAGAATAAGTAATAAATATGCTTTTCGAAGATGTAATAATCAGTTGTAGTGAGATGAAATTCTTTCATTTTACCTTTTTCATCAGGTCTTTTTTAGTTTTTATTTTATTTATGAAAAACAAAAAAATGAAAATAACTAACATGTGAGGCTTTTTAAAGTAACCACAACAATTACGATATTTGTTTTAAAAATACATTAACATATAATTATAGCAACATGAGTAGAAAGGTTAAAAAAAATAAGTTAAAATTTATAAAAAAAAAACATGCTCTTAATAAAATTAAAATTAAAAACATAAATAGGTCTAAATCAAATATATGAGAAAGAATCGTATTTGCCTAAGAATAATATAATTTATTATAATGCCTCTATGTGGACTAAAATAAGAGAAACCTCTATTTGCAACGCCTTTAATTTTTAGGAGAATTATATACTTTAAAGATTAATAAATATGCCTAAACCCCGTACACATAATATAGGTATATATATATGAAAAACGTTTTAGGGCCTATGTGTTTTATTGTCATGTAATGAAGTATTATCAGGAAAAATAAGATTTTTTATTTAAAATTTTATATAAAAAACAACTAAAATGGAAAAATAATAAATTTCTATTATATTTTTCAAATGACGTTAAATAAAAATAAACATGTGTTGGATATGTGCAAAAATACAATGTCTTAATCAAGTTTAATGAAAGGCTATTGTTTGAAATTACAAGGCTTCATTATTATATATAATATTATTTACTTTTAAAGTAAATATTTGAAAAATTCAATTTACACAACACCATACGTGGGTTGGATGAAAATTTCTGGGTATAAAAGGACCAGAAATCTTTCGAATAATCATCAGTTCGGTTCGAACTCTCAGAAAAATGAGAGTAATAGCCTTCGTGATCTTGTGCGCTCTTCAGGTGAGTTCCATAATATTATTTTACTAAATTTTTTTCATTATATTCTATATTATCAAAGGATAATTATTCATTTTGCAAAAATATCGCTAAGATTATTAAGTAAAACTTTTTTAAGTTTTACTTATTTAATGCTTTTCTCAGTATTCAATTACTGTTTTCAAGTACATGATCTATTTGTGCTTGATTTTATTCATCATCGTTATAATTATTATTTATTACTGATATTAGTATTTAACCGATTACATACATGATAATTGTCACAATAATAACGTCTCTAAATTTTTTATCTACATATTAAGTCGTAAGTTCTTAACAAAACTTAAATATATATTTCTAGTACGTATCGTCGGCTGCGCCGCCGGACGACATCGTGAATGAGTTGATAAACATTTTCTCTGACGGAAATGCTTTACAAACTAAAAATGTGAGCACGAGTGATGAATTTGACGTAGACCAAACTGGAGGTGTATGGGAAAAATCGACAACACGTACGAATTTCGAAAGGCAAGGACATGCAAGTAGCGACGTGACCGGTGACGACGTGAAAGTCCGAACCATAAGGATCGAAGTAGACGCTTCCGGCCGTGAAAGAATATTTGAAGAAGACGTGATCATTAAAAAAGTACCAGGAAAGGCACCAAGCTCCAGAGCTTCTAGTTCTGCTGCAAGTGCTAGTTCTAGCGCCGCAAGCTCGTCATACGAGGCACCAAGACCATCGTATCGCCAACCATTGGTACCATACGGAAATCAAAGACCTAACGGTGCAGTCTCGTCGAACGCAGCTGCTGTTAGCGCATCTGGCCCAGGCAACCAAGGAGCCGGCTACGGATCTGGTCTCTACGGTAACGGAAACGGATCTGGTGAACAAATCGTCGTCATCAACGGTGGATCATCGGGTGCTGGTTCTTCATCTAGCTCAAGTGCTAGTGCAGCTAGTGCTTCCTCCTCCGGACGTAATGGTGGAGCAGGATACTTGAACCAACAAGAATCAGATGCCGCAGCAGCCGCTATTGCCGCTGATGCTGCAAATGCTGCGAACGCTGCTAACGCCGCTGCAGCAGCTGCCAACGCCGCTGTAGCAGCCGCTAAATATGATAACGAAATAAGAGCTTACAGACAACCTGGCTCTAATACAGTTTCTGTTTCTGCCTCATCGTCATCCGTTTCAAGCGGATCTGGTGAACAAATCGTCGTCATCAACGGTGGATCATCAGGTGCTGGTTCTTCATCTAGCTCAAGTGCTAGTGCAGCTAGTGCTTCCTCCGGACCTAATGGTGGAGCAGGATACTTGAACCAACAAGAATCAGATGCCGCAGCAGCCGCCGCAGCCGCTGCCGCCGCAAACGCCGCCAATGCTGCCAACGCTGCTGCTGCAGCTGCCGCCAACGCCGCAGCCTCTGCTGCTGAATATGATAATGCTTATGGACCACTCGGTGGACTGGGTTCAGGTTTAGGTTACGGATCGAACTCGGCCGGTCTCGGTAACGGACCATACGGTCGTGGATTTGGACCATACGGAAATCAAGGATCGAACGGTGCTTCCTCAGCCGCCGCAGCTGCCGCTAGTGCATCTGGAGCAGGTAATCAAGGAGCTGGTTACGGAGCTGGAAACGGTGCAGGTGAAAACATCGTCGTTATCAATGCTGGATCATCCGGCGCCGGATCGGGCTCCAGTGCATCTGCTAGTGCAGCAAGCGCTGGTTCCGCTGGTGGTAACAGTGGTTCAGGACTATCAGGACTCGGATACGGACAACAATACGGAGCCGGTGGTGCTGGATCTGCTGCTGCTGCCGCTGCCGCTGCCGCTTCTGCTGGTGGCTACGAAAATGGAATTGGCGCACTCGGCGTCCAAGGACTTGGATCGGGACTCGGATACGGAGGCAATTCGGCAGCTGCCGCCGCCGCCGCTGAAGCAGCCTCAGCATCTGGTTCCGGCTACGGACCATACGGCTCAGCATTCGGACCATACGGAAATCAAGGATCTAACGGCGCATCTTCCGCCGCCTCAGCTGCCGCCACTGCATCTGGCCCAGGCAACCAAGGAGCCGGCTACGGATCTGGTCTCTACGGTAACGGAAACGGATCTGGTGAACAAATCGTCGTCATCAACGGTGGATCATCAGGTGCTGGTTCTTCATCTAGCTCAAGTGCTAGTGCAGCTAGTGCTTCTTCCTCCGGACCTAATGGTGGAGCAGGATACTTGAACCAACAAGAATCAGATGCCGCAGCAGCCGCCGCAGCCGCTGCCGCCGCAAACGCCGCCAATGCTGCCAACGCTGCTGCTGCAGCTGCCGCCAACGCCGCAGCCTCTGCTGCTGAATATGATAATGCTTATGGACCACTCGGTGGACTGGGTTCAGGTTTAGGTTACGGATCGAACTCGGCCGGTCTCGGTAACGGACCATACGGTCGTGGATTTGGACCATACGGAAATCAAGGATCGAACGGTGCTTCTTCAGCCGCCGCAGCTGCCGCTAGTGCATCTGGAGCAGGCAATCAAGGAGCTGGTTACGGATCTGGTCTCTACGGTAACGGAAACGGATCTGGTGAACAAATCGTCGTCATCAACGGTGGATCATCAGGTGCTGGTTCTTCATCTAGCTCAAGTGCTAGTGCAGCTAGTGCTTCTTCCTCCGGACCTAATGGTGGAGCAGGATACTTGAACCAACAAGAATCAGATGCCTCAGCAGCCGCCGCAGCCGCTGCCGCCGCAAACGCCGCCAATGCTGCCAACGCTGCTGCTGCAGCTGCCGCCAACGCCGCAGCCTCTGCTGCTGAATATGATAATGCTTATGGACCACTCGGTGGACTGGGTTCAGGTTTAGGTTACGGATCGAACTCGGCCGGTCTCGGTAACGGACCATACGGTCGTGGATTTGGACCATACGGAAATCAAGGATCGAACGGTGCTTCCTCAGCCGCCGCAGCTGCCGCTAGTGCATCTGGAGCAGGTAATCAAGGAGCTGGTTACGGAGCTGGAAACGGTGCAGGTGAAAACATCGTCGTTATCAATGCTGGATCATCCGGCGCCGGATCGGGCTCCAGTGCATCTGCTAGTGCAGCAAGCGCTGGTTCCGCTGGTGGTAACAGTGGTTCAGGACTATCAGGACTCGGATACGGACAACAATACGGAGCCGGTGGTGCTGGATCTGCTGCTGCTGCCGCTGCCGCTGCCGCTTCTGCTGGTGGCTACGAAAATGGAATTGGCGCACTCGGCGTCCAAGGACTTGGATCGGGACTCGGATACGGAGGCAATTCGGCAGCTGCCGCCGCCGCCGCCGCCGCTGAAGCAGCCTCAGCATCTGGTTCCGGCTACGGACCATACGGCTCAGCATTCGGACCATACGGAAATCAAGGATCTAACGGCGCATCTTCCGCCGCCTCAGCTGCCGCCAGTGCATCTGGCCCAGGCAACCAAGGAGCCGGCTACGGATCTGGTCTCTACGGTAACGGAAACGGATCTGGTGAACAAATCGTCGTCATCAACGGTGGATCATCAGGTGCTGGTTCTTCATCTAGCTCAAGTGCTAGTGCAGCTAGTGCTTCTTCCTCCGGACCTAATGGTGGAGCAGGATACTTGAACCAACAAGAATCAGATGCCGCAGCAGCCGCCGCAGCCGCTGCCGCCGCAAACGCCGCCAATGCTGCCAACGCTGCTGCTGCAGCTGCCGCCAACGCCGCAGCCTCTGCTGCTGAATATGATAATGCTTATGGACCACTCGGTGGACTGGGTTCAGGTTTAGGTTACGGATCGAACTCGGCCGGTCTCGGTAACGGACCATACGGTCGTGGATTTGGACCATACGGAAATCAAGGATCGAACGGTGCTTCCTCAGCCGCCGCAGCTGCCGCTAGTGCATCTGGAGCAGGTAATCAAGGAGCTGGTTACGGAGCTGGAAACGGTGCAGGTGAAAACATCGTCGTTATCAATGCTGGATCATCCGGCGCCGGATCGGGCTCCAGTGCATCTGCTAGTGCAGCAAGCGCTGGTTCCGCTGGTGGTAACAGTGGTTCAGGACTATCAGGACTCGGATACGGACAACAATACGGAGCCGGTGGTGCTGGATCTGCTGCTGCTGCCGCTGCCGCTGCCGCTTCTGCTGGTGGCTACGAAAATGGAATTGGCGCACTCGGCGTCCAAGGACTTGGATCGGGACTCGGATACGGAGGCAATTCGGCAGCTGCCGCCGCCGCCGCCGCCGCTGAAGCAGCCTCAGCATCTGGTTCCGGCTACGGACCATACGGCTCAGCATTCGGACCATACGGAAATCAAGGATCTAACGGCGCATCTTCCGCCGCCTCAGCTGCCGCCAGTGCATCTGGCCCAGGCAACCAAGGAGCCGGCTACGGATCTGGTCTCTACGGTAACGGAAACGGATCTGGTGAACAAATCGTCGTCATCAACGGTGGATCATCAGGTGCTGGTTCTTCATCTAGCTCAAGTGCTAGTGCAGCTAGTGCTTCTTCCTCCGGACCTAATGGTGGAGCAGGATACTTGAACCAACAAGAATCAGATGCCGCAGCAGCCGCCGCAGCCGCTGCCGCCGCAAACGCCGCCAATGCTGCCAACGCTGCTGCTGCAGCTGCCGCCAACGCCGCAGCCTCTGCTGCTGAATATGATAATGCTTATGGACCACTCGGTGGACTGGGTTCAGGTTTAGGTTACGGATCGAACTCGGCCGGTCTCGGTAACGGACCATACGGTCGTGGATTTGGACCATACGGAAATCAAGGATCGAACGGTGCTTCTTCAGCCGCCGCAGCTGCCGCTAGTGCATCTGGAGCAGGCAATCAAGGAGCTGGTTACGGATCTGGTCTCTACGGTAACGGAAACGGATCTGGTGAACAAATCGTCGTCATCAACGGTGGATCATCAGGTGCTGGTTCTTCATCTAGCTCAAGTGCTAGTGCAGCTAGTGCTTCTTCCTCCGGACCTAATGGTGGAGCAGGATACTTGAACCAACAAGAATCAGATGCCGCAGCAGCCGCCGCAGCCGCTGCCGCCGCAAACGCCGCCAATGCTGCCAACGCTGCTGCTGCAGCTGCCGCCAACGCCGCAGCCTCTGCTGCTGAATATGATAATGCTTATGGACCACTCGGTGGACTGGGTTCAGGTTTAGGTTACGGATCGAACTCGGCCGGTCTCGGTAACGGACCATACGGTCGTGGATTTGGACCATACGGAAATCAAGGATCGAACGGTGCTTCCTCAGCCGCCGCAGCTGCCGCTAGTGCATCTGGAGCAGGTAATCAAGGAGCTGGTTACGGAGCTGGAAACGGTGCAGGTGAAAACATCGTCGTTATCAATGCTGGATCATCCGGCGCCGGATCGGGCTCCAGTGCATCTGCTAGTGCAGCAAGCGCTGGTTCCGCTGGTGGTAACAGTGGTTCAGGACTATCAGGACTCGGATACGGACAACAATACGGAGCCGGTGGTGCTGGATCTGCTGCTGCTGCCGCTGCCGCTGCCGCTTCTGCTGGTGGCTACGAAAATGGAATTGGCGCACTCGGCGTCCAAGGACTTGGATCGGGACTCGGATACGGAGGCAATTCGGCAGCTGCCGCCGCCGCCGCCGCCGCTGAAGCAGCCTCAGCATCTGGTTCCGGCTACGGACCATACGGTTCAGCATTCGGACCATACGGAAATCAAGGATCTAACGGCGCATCTTCCGCCGCCTCAGCTGCCGCCAGTGCATCTGGCCCAGGCAACCAAGGAGCCGGCTACGGATCTGGTCTCTACGGTAACGGAAACGGATCTGGTGAACAAATCGTCGTCATCAACGGTGGATCATCAGGTGCTGGTTCTTCATCTAGCTCAAGTGCTAGTGCAGCTAGTGCTTCTTCCTCCGGACCTAATGGTGGAGCAGGATACTTGAACCAACAAGAATCAGATGCCGCAGCAGCCGCCGCAGCCGCTGCCGCCGCAAACGCCGCCAATGCTGCCAACGCTGCTGCTGCAGCTGCCGCCAACGCCGCAGCCTCTGCTGCTGAATATGATAATGCTTATGGACCACTCGGTGGACTGGGTTCAGGTTTAGGTTACGGATCGAACTCGGCCGGTCTCGGTAACGGACCATACGGTCGTGGATTTGGACCATACGGAAATCAAGGATCGAACGGTGCTTCCTCAGCCGCCGCAGCTGCCGCTAGTGCATCTGGAGCAGGTAATCAAGGAGCTGGTTACGGAGCTGGAAACGGTGCAGGTGAAAACATCGTCGTTATCAATGCTGGATCATCCGGCGCCGGATCGGGCTCCAGTGCATCTGCTAGTGCAGCAAGCGCTGGTTCCGCTGGTGGTAACAGTGGTTCAGGACTATCAGGACTCGTATACGGACAACAATACGGAGCCGGTGGTGCTGGATCTGCTGCTGCTGCCGCTGCCGCTGCCGCTTCTGCTGGTGGCTACGAAAATGGAATTGGCGCACTCGGCGTCCAAGGACTTGGATCGGGACTCGGATACGGAGGCAATTCGGCAGCTGCCGCCGCCGCCGCCGCCGCTGAAGCAGCCTCAGCATCTGGTTCCGGCTACGGACCATACGGCTCAGCATTCGGACCATACGGAAATCAAGGATCTAACGGCGCATCTTCCGCCGCCTCAGCTGCCGCCAGTGCATCTGGCCCAGGCAACCAAGGAGCCGGCTACGGATCTGGTCTCTACGGTAACGGAAACGGATCTGGTGAACAAATCGTCGTCATCAACGGTGGATCATCAGGTGCTGGTTCTTCATCTAGCTCAAGTGCTAGTGCAGCTAGTGCTTCTTCCTCCGGACCTAATGGTGGAGCAGGATACTTGAACCAACAAGAATCAGATGCCGCAGCAGCCGCCGCAGCCGCTGCCGCCGCAAACGCCGCCAATGCTGCCAACGCTGCTGCTGCAGCTGCCGCCAACGCCGCAGCCTCTGCTGCTGAATATGATAATGCTTATGGACCACTCGGTGGACTGGGTTCAGGTTTAGGTTACGGATCGAACTCGGCCGGTCTCGGTAACGGACCATACGGTCGTGGATTTGGACCATACGGAAATCAAGGATCGAACGGTGCTTCCTCAGCCGCCGCAGCTGCCGCTAGTGCATCTGGAGCAGGTAATCAAGGAGCTGGTTACGGAGCTGGAAACGGTGCAGGTGAAAACATCGTCGTTATCAATGCTGGATCATCCGGCGCCGGATCGGGCTCCAGTGCATCTGCTAGTGCAGCAAGCGCTGGTTCCGCTGGTGGTAACAGTGGTTCAGGACTATCAGGACTCGGATACGGACAACAATACGGAGCCGGTGGTGCTGGATCTGCTGCTGCTGCCGCTGCCGCTGCCGCTTCTGCTGGTGGCTACGAAAATGGAATTGGCGCACTCGGCGTCCAAGGACTTGGATCGGGACTCGGATACGGAGGCAATTCGGCAGCTGCCGCCGCCGCCGCCGCCGCTGAAGCAGCCTCAGCATCTGGTTCCGGCTACGGACCATACGGCTCAGCATTCGGACCATACGGAAATCAAGGATCTAACGGCGCATCTTCCGCCGCCTCAGCTGCCGCCAGTGCATCTGGCCCAGGCAACCAAGGAGCCGGCTACGGATCTGGTCTCTACGGTAACGGAAACGGATCTGGTGAACAAATCGTCGTCATCAACGGTGGATCATCAGGTGCTGGTTCTTCATCTAGCTCAAGTGCTAGTGCAGCTAGTGCTTCTTCCTCCGGACCTAATGGTGGAGCAGGATACTTGAACCAACAAGAATCAGATGCCGCAGCAGCCGCCGCAGCCGCTGCCGCCGCAAACGCCGCCAATGCTGCCAACGCTGCTGCTGCAGCTGCCGCCAACGCCGCAGCCTCTGCTGCTGAATATGATAATGCTTATGGACCACTCGGTGGACTGGGTTCAGGTTTAGGTTACGGATCGAACTCGGCCGGTCTCGGTAACGGACCATACGGTCGTGGATTTGGACCATACGGAAATCAAGGATCGAACGGTGCTTCTTCAGCCGCCGCAGCTGCCGCTAGTGCATCTGGAGCAGGCAATCAAGGAGCTGGTTACGGATCTGGTCTCTACGGTAACGGAAACGGATCTGGTGAACAAATCGTCGTCATCAACGGTGGATCATCAGGTGCTGGTTCTTCATCTAGCTCAAGTGCTAGTGCAGCTAGTGCTTCTTCCTCCGGACCTAATGGTGGAGCAGGATACTTGAACCAACAAGAATCAGATGCCGCAGCAGCCGCCGCAGCCGCTGCCGCCGCAAACGCCGCCAATGCTGCCAACGCTGCTGCTGCAGCTGCCGCCAACGCCGCAGCCTCTGCTGCTGAATATGATAATGCTTATGGACCACTCGGTGGACTGGGTTCAGGTTTAGGTTACGGATCGAACTCGGCCGGTCTCGGTAACGGACCATACGGTCGTGGATTTGGACCATACGGAAATCAAGGATCGAACGGTGCTTCCTCAGCCGCCGCAGCTGCCGCTAGTGCATCTGGAGCAGGTAATCAAGGAGCTGGTTACGGAGCTGGAAACGGTGCAGGTGAAAACATCGTCGTTATCAATGCTGGATCATCCGGCGCCGGATCGGGCTCCAGTGCATCTGCTAGTGCAGCAAGCGCTGGTTCCGCTGGTGGTAACAGTGGTTCAGGACTATCAGGACTCGGATACGGACAACAATACGGAGCCGGTGGTGCTGGATCTGCTGCTGCTGCCGCTGCCGCTGCCGCTTCTGCTGGTGGCTACGAAAATGGAATTGGCGCACTCGGCGTCCAAGGACTTGGATCGGGACTCGGATACGGAGGCAATTCGGCAGTTGCTGCCGCCGCCGCCGCCGCTGAAGCAGCCTCAGCATCTGGTTCCGGCTACGGACCATACGGCTCAGCATTCGGACCATACGGAAATCAAGGATCTAACGGCGCATCTTCCCGCCGCCTCAGCTGCCGCCAGTGCATCTGGCCCAGGCAACCAAGGAGCCGGCTACGGATCTGGTCTCTACGGTAACGGAAACGGATCTGGTGAACAAATCGTCGTCATCAACGGTGGATCATCCGGTGCTGGTTCTTCATCTAGCTCAAGTGCTAGTGCAGCTAGTGCTTCTTCCTCCGGACCTAATGGTGGAGCAGGATACTTGAACCAACAAGAATCAGATGCCGCAGCAGCCGCCGCAGCCGCTGCCGCCGCAAACGCCGCCAATGCTGCCAACGCTGCTGCTGCAGCTGCCGCCAACGCCGCAGCCTCTGCTGCTGAATATGATAATGCTTATGGACCACTCGGTGGACTGGGTTCAGGTTTAGGTTACGGATCGAACTCGGCCGGTCTCGGTAACGGACCATACGGTCGTGGATTTGGACCATACGGAAATCAAGGATCGAACGGTGCTTCCTCAGCCGCCGCAGCTGCCGCTAGTGCATCTGGAGCAGGTAATCAAGGAGCTGGTTACGGAGCTGGAAACGGTGCAGGTGAAAACATCGTCGTTATCAATGCTGGATCATCCGGCGCCGGATCGGGCTCCAGTGCATCTGCTAGTGCAGCAAGCGCTGGTTCCGCTGGTGGTAACAGTGGTTCAGGACTATCAGGACTCGGATACGGACAACAATACGGAGCCGGTGGTGCTGGATCTGCTGCTGCTGCCGCTGCCGCTGCCGCTTCTGCTGGTGGCTACGAAAATGGAATTGGCGCACTCGGCGTCCAAGGACTTGGATCGGGACTCGGATACGGAGGCAATTCGGCAGCTGCCGCCGCCGCCGCCGCCGCTGAAGCAGCCTCAGCATCTGGTTCCGGCTACGGACCATACGGCTCAGCATTCGGACCATACGGAAATCAAGGATCTAACGGCGCATCTTCCGCCGCCTCAGCTGCCGCCAGTGCATCTGGCCCAGGCAACCAAGGAGCCGGCTACGGATCTGGTCTCTACGGTAACGGAAACGGATCTGGTGAACAAATCGTCGTCATCAACGGTGGATCATCAGGTGCTGGTTCTTCATCTAGCTCAAGTGCTAGTGCAGCTAGTGCTTCTTCCTCCGGACCTAATGGTGGAGCAGGATACTTGAACCAACAAGAATCAGATGCCGCAGCAGCCGCCGCAGCCGCTGCCGCCGCAAACGCCGCCAATGCTGCCAACGCTGCTGCTGCAGCTGCCGCCAACGCCGCAGCCTCTGCTGCTGAATATGATAATGCTTATGGACCACTCGGTGGACTGGGTTCAGGTTTAGGTTACGGATCGAACTCGGCCGGTCTCGGTAACGGACCATACGGTCGTGGATTTGGACCATACGGAAATCAAGGATCGAACGGTGCTTCCTCAGCCGCCGCAGCTGCCGCTAGTGCATCTGGAGCAGGTAATCAAGGAGCTGGTTACGGAGCTGGAAACGGTGCAGGTGAAAACATCGTCGTTATCAATGCTGGATCATCCGGCGCCGGATCGGGCTCCAGTGCATCTGCTAGTGCAGCAAGCGCTGGTTCCGCTGGTGGTAACAGTGGTTCAGGACTATCAGGACTCGGATACGGACAACAATACGGAGCCGGTGGTGCTGGATCTGCTGCTGCTGCCGCTGCCGCTGCCGCTTCTGCTGGTGGCTACGAAAATGGAATTGGCGCACTCGGCTTCCAAGGACTTGGATCGGGACTCGGATACGGAGGCAATTCGGCAGTTGCTGCCGCCGCCGCCGCCGCTGAAGCAGCCTCAGCATCTGGTTCCGGCTACGGACCATACGGCTCAGCATTCGGACCATACGGAAATCAAGGATCTAACGGCGCATCTTCCGCCGCCTCAGCTGCCGCCAGTGCATCTGGCCCAGGCAACCAAGGAGCCGGCTACGGATCTGGTCTCTACGGTAACGGAAACGGATCTGGTGAACAAATCGTCGTCATCAACGGTGGATCATCCGGTGCTGGTTCTTCATCTAGCTCAAGTGCTAGTGCAGCTAGTGCTTCTTCCTCCGGACCTAATGGTGGAGCAGGATACTTGAACCAACAAGAATCAGATGCCGCAGCAGCCGCCGCAGCCGCTGCCGCCGCAAACGCCGCCAATGCTGCCAACGCTGCTGCTGCAGCTGCCGCCAACGCCGCAGCCTCTGCTGCTGAATATGATAATGCTTATGGACCACTCGGTGGACTGGGTTCAGGTTTAGGTTACGGATCGAACTCGGCCGGTCTCGGTAACGGACCATACGGTCGTGGATTTGGACCATACGGAAATCAAGGATCGAACGGTGCTTCTTCAGCCGCCGCAGCTGCCGCTAGTGCATCTGGAGCAGGCAATCAAGGAGCTGGTTACGGATCTGGTCTCTACGGTAACGGAAACGGATCTGGTGAACAAATCGTCGTCATCAACGGTGGATCATCAGGTGCTGGTTCTTCATCTAGCTCAAGTGCTAGTGCAGCTAGTGCTTCTTCCTCCGGACCTAATGGTGGAGCAGGATACTTGAACCAACAAGAATCAGATGCCGCAGCAGCCGCCGCAGCCGCTGCCGCCGCAAAAACGCCGCCAATGCTGCCAACGCTGCTGCTGCAGCTGCCGCCAACGCCGCAGCCTCTGCTGCTGAATATGATAATGCTTATGGACCACTCGGTGGACTGGGTTCAGGTTTAGGTTACGGATCGAACTCGGCCGGTCTCGGTAACGGACCATACGGTCGTGGATTTGGACCATACGGAAATCAAGGATCGAACGGTGCTTCCTCAGCCGCCGCAGCTGCCGCTAGTGCATCTGGAGCAGGTAATCAAGGAGCTGGTTACGGAGCTGGAAACGGTGCAGGTGAAAACATCGTCGTTATCAATGCTGGATCATCCGGCGCCGGATCGGGCTCCAGTGCATCTGCTAGTGCAGCAAGCGCTGGTTCCGGTGGTGGTAACAGTGGTTCAGGACTATCAGGACTCGGATACGGACAACAATACGGAGCCGGTGGTGCTGGATCTGCTGCTGCTGCCGCTGCCGCTGCCGCTTCTGCTGGTGGCTACGAAAATGGAATTGGCGCACTCGGCGTCCAAGGACTTGGATCGGGACTCGGATACGGAGGCAATTCGGCAGCTGCCGCCGCCGCCGCTGAAGCAGCCTCAGCTTCTGGTTCCGGCTACGGACCATACGGCTCAGCATTCGGACCATACGGAAATCAAGGATCTAACGGCGCATCTTCCGCCGCCTCAGCTGCCGCCAGTGCATCTGGCCCAGACAACCAAGGAGCCGGCTACGGATCTGGTCTCTACGGTAACGGAAACGGATCTGGTGAACAAATCGTCGTCATCAACGGTGGATCATCAGGTGCTGGTTCTTCATCTAGCTCAAGTGCTAGTGCAGCTAGTGCTTCTTCCTCCGGACCTAATGGTGGAGCAGGATACTTGAACCAACAAGAATCAGATGCCGCAGCAGCCGCCGCAGCCGCTGCCGCCGCAAACGCCGCCAATGCTGCCAACGCTGCTGCTGCAGCTGCCGCCAACGCCGCAGCCTCTGCTGCTGAATATGATAATGCTTATGGACCACTCGGTGGACTGGGTTCAGGTTTAGGTTACGGATCGAACTCGGCCGGTCTCGGTAACGGACCATACGGTCGTGGATTTGGACCATACGGAAATCAAGGATCGAACGGTGCTTCTTCAGCCGCCGCAGCTGCCGCTAGTGCATCTGGAGCAGGTAATCAAGGAGCTGGTTACGGAGCTGGAAACGGTGCAGGTGAAAACATCGTCGTTATCAATGCTGGATCATCCGGCGCCGGATCGGGCTCCAGTGCATCTGCTAGTGCAGCAAGCGCTGGTTCCGCTGGTGGTAACAGTGGTTCAGGACTATCAGGACTCGGATACGGACAACAATACGGAGCCGGTGGTGCTGGATCTGCTGCTGCTGCCGCTGCCGCTGCCGCTTCTGCTGGTGGCTACGAAAATGGAATTGGCGCACTCGGCGTCCAAGGACTTGGATCGGGACTCGGATACGGAGGCAATTCGGCAGCTGCCGCCGCCGCCGCCGCCGCTGAAGCAGCCTCAGCATCTGGTTCCGGCTACGGACCATACGGCTCAGCATTCGGACCATACGGAAATCAAGGATCTAACGGCGCATCTTCCGCCGCCTCAGCTGCCGCCAGTGCATCTGGCCCAGGCAACCAAGGAGCCGGCTACGGATCTGGTCTCTACGGTAACGGAAACGGATCTGGTGAACAAATCGTCGTCATCAACGGTGGATCATCAGGTGCTGGTTCTTCATCTAGCTCAAGTGCTAGTGCAGCTAGTGCTTCTTCCTCCGGACCTAATGGTGGAGCAGGATACTTGAACCAACAAGAATCAAATGCCGCAGCAGCCGCCGCAGCCGCTGCCGCCGCAAACGCCGCCAATGCTGCCAACGCTGCTGCTGCAGCTGCCGCCAACGCCGCAGCCTCTGCTGCTGAATATGATAATGTTTACGGACCTGTCGTTGGATCTGGTGCTTCAGCTTTTGCTTCAGAGGTACAAAGTGACGTTTCCGGACCATTACCTAAAGTTATTGTTATAAACGAAGATGACTCGGAAAGATTTTCATCTTCCCCTCTTGACAATGGTCGTGGTTCCGTCAGTAATAGTGTGTCTTCAGGAAACTATGGACCAAGTTCATTTGGAGACATAGTTGTAATCAATGAATCAAACGCTGGTATCAACTCCGGTGTGTCTTCCGTATCAGCTGGTTCTTCCAGGGGAAGTCTATCTGGACCAGTTATTGCTTCAAGTGGAAACGTTGGCGTAGGATCTTCATCTGCAGTAGCACCCTATGGCAATCAAAGACAATCCTCAATCATCATCATCAATGAGGACAATGGTTCTGGTTCAGCATCCTCAGCAAGCAGCTCTGTCGCAGTAAGCGGCTCTTCTGGTGGATACGTCCAAGGCAGAGGCAGAGTTCGTCAAGGTTGTAGACTTCAACGCAGACAGTTTGTCATCAAGGTTGGACGACGAGGTGGAGTTTGCCGTAACTGTTAATTTTGATTCCACGTTTTGATGTTACATTCAATAATAATGTTTGATGAAATATAATTTTTGCAATTGAAAAATTATCTTTTATTTTATATCCATTTTTAATCCCTGCTTACATTACTTTCATATTCTTATGCTTCTTTTAACTATAATGAATAATTTATTTTTTTCGATTACAGTAGAATGGAAATCGTTTATTTAAATAGTCTTAATTTCTTAACATAATTGAAACCGTTCTGAAAACGATACCATAGTGTTATAAGAAAGATTCTTTCTTATTTCCACTTAATACATTAATAAAATGATAAAATCTTTGACATAGAGATAAATAAAAAAAAGGATTACTTCAAAAATAAAACAACACATTTAATTAAAATCTTTATTTATAAAAAGTTTCACACTGATTACAACTTTGAAATTTTTTTGCAAATCAAATAGGTGTATCGAATAATAAGAATACGGTATCATTATGTATTGGTCCAAAATTATAATAAAAATTGAGCGATGTCATTCGGGAGAAGTATATAGAGAATAGCAAGTATATAAAGAGTACAAAATATATATGTATAATATATATATGTCGGATCGCCGAGTCCATTAGGGTCTTGTAATTCACTCTTATTTGATATCTAACCACTAACACTTCACAAAACACTTCACAACACTTTAAAGTCACTTCACTTCACTTTACTTCACTTCTTGCTTTTTGATTAACACATGAAATCGAGCCACGTGGATTTCCGAGGGTGCGTCCAACACTACGTCCAAATGAGCACTGCCCTTGCAGTGTGACTGCTGCAGTTTATATGCTTGCTCACTACTATGAAGTTGGCGCCTCTCGCAACCCCACTCGACAATCTAACTGACGTTAGCGTCGGCTCTTTATAATAAATTGAGTTACTTTTTAAATTACATTCACAATATTAATCAACTAAATACAATCAAACAAATTAAAAGAAATAAGGAATACACTTAAAAACTTAAAATAATCTTTATCAAACAAACAAACAGCTTTCACAAAATTACATAGTTCAAACGACATATCGTCAATGTATTGTCAAATGAATTGAGTATCTTCTCTTCAAATTCTTAACCTTTATCAACCAAATATAATCACTCAAATAAACGAAAACATTTAAATACAAACATGAAAGAAATGAAACCAAAATATCAACTTGTTTTCCCAAAATAAGGCACTTTACACAACGTATTGTGCATACTCCGTCATATAAACATAAAACATTCAGTCAAAGACAAATTTATTACATTATAAATTGGCACTTGAAGTTCATAGACTTGAGGATAGACAAGAAATAGTTTCAATGGCATGGATTGAAATTTAAAGTCTTAGGATCTCTCTCGTGTAAAATAAAATGACATAGAGACTGCAATATATCATAAAAACAATATTTTGTATCAATTAAAATCATTACTGCATCTACTTTATTGCTTAAAAAGATTCTTTATTGTTCGAGTTAAATTACTTTTTAAAATGTTTTATTAAAAAAATACGTACATACTTCTGAGTTATATCTTTCAAATAATGGCAAAGTTGTTTTCTAATTAAACATTGTGTCTTTTTAATAATAATGCAGATGTACAGTTCTGTACTATACGAATATTTGATGAATTATATAATTAAATGGTAACTTTTTCAAAGAAATCGGTGCCCTTAAGAGGAGAACGAACAAACGTATAAGTAATATTATACGTGTTTTCTTGTTATTATGTATTATACAAACATAGCTTTAAAAATGATATGAGTATAATGAAATGTTTTGAAATTTCTTCTATCAGTAGAAAGCCGTCAGGGCTTTAATATCTTGAAAACTACTCGATATTAAAAAAAATCTAAATCAGTGCACGTTGATGTTTATACATATTTGTGTTTAAACACTATCTACCTCTAGGGAATTTTCAGTGTAAAAAAATCTTGACGACTTTGATACTGACTGACTGTCTGATAGACTTTTCTACAACAATATATGAATATTAAATAGTATAACAGATTATATATTAATTGATCTTCGGATATTTAAGTATAGTTTAAATTAATTTTTGCTTACTTGACTCTCGGTGTATACTAACCAAGTCAATCGAGGTTCGTTATAAATTACTACCCTGCTAATAAAGAAGTAAAGACATTGAAATATCATGCCGAGACAATTTGTATAATAAAAGACCACCAATGTATATTGAATGCTACACAGGTGAACACCCTTTGACTATATGTATATAATTACTGAGAAAACATTTCGCTTGCGTGATGTAACTGAGCCCTAGTGACATCTATGATTTTATTATTGTACTAATTACCCTAAGTTGTTTTAAAGAGGTGGAATTATATTAAATTTTTTATTCCTTTCAAATTAGTTTTATGTTATACTATTTATTGTTGAACCATACACAAACCTCATAGTAACTTATAATTTTAATGTCTTAGTATAGTACATAGGGTGACTGGTGAATTACTATCGATACTTGAGGACGTGATATTTGACGATCATATATGACAAAATAAAAATTAATATAACATAAATATTAATAAACTTCTAAGTAAAGTTAACCAAAAGTTATGTAATTAATTACGCATCGTGTGAACACCGTACAGATTAGGTATACACACACACACACAGGCGCGTGCGGCGGCGTGGTGTTGTATCAGCACGCCGCCGCACGCGTCCACACTTGGAACACTTGGAACGTGTCCACACTGTATTTATTTATACGGAAATTTGGTCAAAAATTAAGACCCTATTTTTTTTTACATAATTTGAATGAGAATCATGTACCGAGTACTCTCCTCAAATATTGATAATAATTCACCAGTCACCCTGTATAAGGATGGTTACCATACACATTAAAATATAGTAAAAAATATCCCATTTTTGCTATTTTTTAACATACCTAATCTGTATTTATCGTAATTTATATTAAAATAACATTTTTTTTTTATTTAATTCCTAATTTCTTTTTTCGACATAAAGCTTGTGATATCTTATCTGTATAAAAATAAGTTCCATTGTTTGATAAGTTTTATTCATAAAGCCGATATAAATATTTTTTAGAAATAGTGAATCTAAATTATCGTCCGGTATTCTATAAGTATAAAAAATAATTAAAATAAAAAAATTATCGGCAAATATAATAAAAACGTTCACCTGTACTAACTAGTTTGTTTAAAGCTGTATTGTTTATATTTTAATATATAATGAACCAAGCAACTTATTACCAGTTTACTAATGCTCTTAAAATATAATAATAATTTCCTAACCACTAACATTTTTACTGTTTAGAAGTCTTTGAAAAGTATAATGCACTCGTAATACTATTTTCCATTGTTCTAGTGACTAATGCGGCGTGGAGTGACCCAATAGAGAGGCTTGTAGTGCAGGGTAAAGTCCAAGGTACTAGACCGGGTGGCAGGTCACCCATGCGCTGGACAGACCAAGTCAGGGCTGCAGTGGACGCTCCTGCCCATGAGTACTCCAGAAAAGCCCCCATCAGAGTTCTGCCAAGAACGTATCGACTTAAAAGAAGAAATGCTTAATGATAATTTATTGTGTGTCGTTAAACAAGTAAATGTTTCTTATCTCTTAGTATATTATAAATATACGAAGAAAACATTAATATCTAAACAGTATATTTTTGAATATTAAAATATTACTGAGACTACATACATATTGATTATAATTTTCAATATTATCTGATAAATTTCTTGTTATTAAATATCTTAAATATTTTAAGCGGATACACTTTGATAATTTCAATTAAATTATTTTTATAATAAGTAACATATTTTATCAAATACATTAATTTATACCAAATTAACTGAGATTTGTTTTAAGTTTAAATTATTTTTAATATTTTTTTAATAAAATTTTACGACTTCTAAAAATTCGTTTTATTTTTAATTATACTTCCAGTGAGATAGTAGATATTGTTTGGTCAAAATTAGGTATTTTCATACAGCGGTCGAGATTATATGTAGTTCGTCTAACAAACAGTAAACGTTGTAATTCTCAAAATATTACACGATTCTAGTGCGAAAGAAGCCATATCATAAAAAATAACATGTAAAATGTTCTTCGAGAATATTCTTTCAGAAAAAAGAAATAAGTTTTTTTTATTTAAATGTACATATTTCATTTAATACATTTCTCTAAACAGAATCCTTTTCAGGCTTACAACTTTAAATTAAAATCGCTTCCCACCTCCTATTTATAAAAAAAAACACAGAAAAAGCCTAAATTTAACTAGACTTATTATTATTTATCAAACATTCTTCCTTTATAACCATTTTTACGATTCTTCTAAATGACGAATGCTATCAAAACGTTTCCCTAACGAAGTGAATTTCATCTGAAGTGTAACACATATGAGAACAAACATTTTTTTTATATTTCATTTCAGCTCCCGGTCGCGACTTCGTGTTGACTTTGAAACTGGGGATAGCGGACCACGGGTGCCTTCAATCGAAATAACTTTATCACGTTTTGAACAATTTTTTTCATTAACATTCCTATTGTATTACCTTTCTTAGTAAATGGACCATTAAAACATTTTTCGAATAATCAATTGTTTTTAGAATTAATTTTTTAATGTATACAGATTTTTATCGATTTATCATGAAAATTCTATTTGTTAATGACTTTATGCGGAGAATGTTTTATAAAAATATCTCTTATTTATAAAAAATATGCACGAACTTATATGAATACTAGCTTCGCTGCGTCGAGTTCGGTTATATCGCGTTTCCAAGAGAACCTTTCAAAAGTCTGGAATAAAAACTATCCTATGTTCTTTCTCAAGGTCAATTCTATGTCTGTACAAAATTTCATTAAAATCAGTTCAGTGATTTAGGCGTGAAAGCGTAACTGACAGACAGACAGAGTTACTTACGCATTTATAATATTAGTAGGTATTATCTTATTATAAGAATTGAGAATTAAATGTATTTATAACTTAGTAGATAAAATATTTAACTCAGATCATCAATTAGTAAG